ACAAAAATTAGAGGTACAACGTCTTGGGCCTTATCAACCAAAAAATTGTTCACTGGAACAATCCCATGAGGGAGGAAAGCGTCGGCGTACATTCTGCGCAGAAACTTGGTATAAAAAACACGAATGGTTGTGTTACAGCGAGGACAAAAATGCACTTTTTTGTTTTTATTGCCTACTTTTTGCTACCGCTCGTGACTCACGTTGGTGTAAATTTGGTTTTAGAGATCTTAAACATCTTTCCGAGCGTGCCAGGGATTATCAATCTTCTATGGAGCATCTGGACAATGCCGTAAAATACCGAACATTTGGAAATGCTAATATTGCAGCACAGTTGGATGAAGGACGCGCGGTTTCTATTCGTCGGCACAACCAAAACGTCGAGAAAAACCGCCATGTTCTCGGTCAATTGATAGATGTTTTGAAGTTCATTGGTTGTCACGAGCTGTCCCTCCGTGGGCACGATGAACGGGCTGGCTCTTCTAATAGAGGGGTATTTTTGGATATGGTGGAATACACCGCATCCCTAGATACAGTATTGAGAGATCATCTTGATGCCGCAACTGTTTCGAAAGGGACATCTAAGGATATCCAAAATGATTTGCTCGACTCAATGTATAAAATTTATTTACAACATTTGGCTCTGGAAATTGAGAATTGCCAGTTCCTTTCGATTCAGTCTGACGAGACAACTGACATCACGTGCGTTTCCCAACTGGCTGTGATTTTTCGGTTTGTGAAAGATGGTAAACCTACCGTGAGATTTCACAGCTTTGTTGATCGCACGGCTTGCGGGATATCGGCTGTACTGAAAGAAGTGTTACAGCCTTACAACGCGAAGTCAAAATTGATAGCTCAAACTTATGACGGCGCGGCAGTCATGAGTGGGTCGAAACATGGTGTTCAAGTTTATAAAAAAGAAGATTTTCCTCATGCGCATTTTTACATTGTTATGCACACCAATTTAACCTCGTTATTAAAAATATGTGTCTTGATACCCCTCTCGTCCGTATATTTTTTGCAAATGTTTCGGGGTTTTCTTCATTTTTTTCCGTTTCACCGAAGCGCTCTGACCTCCTTCGCCAGATATGTAGCCGCCGTCTCCCAGCTTGTGCACCAACACGTTGGAACTTCCAATCACGCGTGGTGCAGGGCGTGTCCGAAATTAGGTCTGAGCTCATTGAGTGTTTCAATGGCATTCAGAGCTCTCCGGTTTGGGACGAACGCTCTGTGAGGGAGGCGGCAGGTCTAAAGCGTCTGCTAGAAGATGATGAGTTTTCATTTTTTCTCGCTTTTTTCTCCACAATATTCTATCACGTGGATGTATTATACGGTGCATTGCAGTCAAGGCTAATGGATGGAGCGTTGTGCAGTCGTGTATTTCAGACTTCTGCGATGCTGTATCTCGTATCCGGGAAACAATAAAATACGAGGACACATGGAGTGCTTCTTTACGCCGCGGGCAAACAACGCAGCGTTTGATTTTGTCTGCAAAGGAATGCTGTGACATTCTGGTGAATCAAATAGGCGATCGTCTGCGTACTGAACACCTTGTCGCGTTCTCTTTGATGAACCCCAAAAATTTTTCAAAATTTGCACGTCAATTTCCCATCCATTTGTTGGCTACTGTCTCCAAATTTTACCCCATGATAAACGTGGGTAAATTGGAAAATGAATTGCGATGTATATACACCAATCAAACTTTTTTGAACATCACATCAACTTGCGCGCTCTATGGGTTCCTCATAGATAACACTCTAGTAACTACCTTTGGGGCGTCTGCAAAATTTCTGGACATCATTTTAACGACGCTTATTTCTTCCGCCGACGCAGAGCGAACATTCAGCACGCTGAAGCGTATTAAAACGTATCTCAGAAACACAATGAAGCAAGATAGATTAAATTCCTTGGCTGTTTTATCCATTCACAGAGACGTTATTTCTGGGATGCATGACTTTAATCAGCGCGTTATTGAGCATTTTGCTTCCAAGAAACCGCGGCGTGTTGCATATATGTTCAAGCAGTAGAAGTCTAGCAGCATATATATCTATGAGTGAGCGACGCATGTCCTTATCTTTGCATTACCTTTCCTTTCTTCATAGTAACGTTTTAAACCTTATTTTAGGTTTTGTCTGCTTTCCCGAAGTTTCTGTTAAGTCATTGTATTTATCTGGGTAAATATTGCCTTTCCCTTTGAAAGAGGTTTCAAAATAAACTATGTCTATATTTATTAATCCCTTGACTTGGACCGGTTTTAAAGACACTTTCTTATCGTAAAAATTGTCGCTTTTGCCTATTGGTTGTTACCGATGGAATGGTTTTTATACTCATAAAATGATGGGAGAACTTACAGCGCTCATCCTGTCCCCGTAGATGGGGGTGACTTGGTCCCGCAGTAGCTTGCCCCGGTTGTCAAAATGACCACGCGCCGCCACTGGCAAGCACAATATTATATATATACACAGGGGGAAAATGAACAATATACAATATTGTGCTTGCCATATCTTGGCCTGATGAAGTTTTTCTGAATAGAAATTCGAAACGTCGGCAAATGAAATCGTTTTGGTAACACCGGCTGTGCTTTATTTATCATCGATATACTAGCTATCAATGTTAGTCATATTTATTATTTCATCGACTATTTCAATTTCGTGATCGAAAGAGCATTGAGCACTAGTTGGAGTTCACTTCCAAATTCTGGAAGCTGGCGATTGGAAATTTCGTAGTTGTAAAGAAAATCTGCTATAGTTGTTTGAAATACCTTAATCTTCAAATCATTTTCTGTAAGATTAACACTTTCGGGCCACTAGTAAATATTGGTCATGTAAGAATATGTCCTGTTGTTACAGATCCGTGAAAATCCTGGGACCAAGCAGTAAGGAGCCTTTATTTCTCCATGATACTACTCCAGTGGAAATAAAGAAACAAATTGGAAATTTGGACGCGAGTAAAGCTGTCGGTAGCGATGATATACCTATAAAATTGCCAAATTTGTTTTGTCACCAATGTTTAATCAAAGATTCCGTGGAAGTGTGTACGCTGAGATTTTAGAAATAGCAAAGGTGGTGCCACCGCATAAGAAGGGATGTAAATACGATTCAAATAGTTATAGGCCAATTTCTTTGCTGTCGCAAGCATTCTTATGAGAATATTTTGGCGTATCGCTCCCTCCTGTCCATACCAACACTTTGGTTGACAAAATACTAAATCGCTCTCTTCCTTTCAACTCAACAATAACCCTAATACCTCTCTAACTTCCAAAAAATAGGCCCAATGTTGGTGTTTCATACTGACCTACAAAACTCAATGTTTAAATTATCCACTGCCCTGTATTTCAATAAAAATCTGTAATATTATCTGTGTTTATTTTATTTTAAAACATTGTTTTCTGGAAATAAAATAAATCTATGCATCACACAGTGGCACTGTTGAGCAAATATCTAATCGTCTTTCGGCGCTGACGCTGAGGAGTTTGGAATATCTTTTCTTGACGGATAGTTATTAGTGTTGAGCGCGAACAGGATTCAAGACTCCAAAAAACAGGAGAGAGGAAAGGAGATATTATTTCTCGTCAACTAAAATAATACAACAGTCATCGAGTTAGGCCTAAAATAAATACTATACAGCTAGGCTATAACTAGTTTCTAATCTTTTATAAGATCCCCGTCTTGACGTCTATAATGCACGAATTCAACATAGTTTCAGCAATGTTAGAATGCCGTGCTACTTTTTTGTGTGTGTTTTGATGTGCTGGCATTAAACCTGATAATACATTATAGGCCTACATAGGTACCACTTGACCTCACAATGTAATTTTGATGTTTTATTGAAAACATAATGACAGAATGATGAATGTGTGCTAGCGTATGCATTACCAGAATACAGCAATCACGCAAACTTTGCAATATTTAGATGCGATTGTAGTGAAAACTATTATACATACGGTAGTCCCCAAGTGTTCAGATGTGGGTGTAATAAACATAAACTACACCAGCATGTATGATGATTAGTACAGTAGTATTAAAACAAATACTGAAGATCACAGTTGAAAACAATTATATTGAAGCAAATATAAATTACAGTCTTATAAATATAACTGCGGGACAATCTTAACCCTGTAATCCCCCAACTATGATCAAATGCCCTATAAATTCATGTATTTATAATTTTTAAACAACCCTCAATGCAGATTTATAACTCAAGCCGTTTTGTTGTCGAAAAAGTTAGTGGGGCGAGAAGTTCAAGTGCAGTTTTAAGTATTCTATGGCGTCTGCAGCTGCCGCAAAACCATGGCGGTATTTCCATACCATGGCCGCTACGGCCAAACCTATGGCGACTGACTTTTTAGCTGCCACAAACCAATGTCGAGCTGCCATTACCGCGGCAGCAAATTGAAAACCAATGGCAGGTAAAATTTTGCTGCCGTAACCGCGGCAGGCGGGCCGTAAGCACAGGGCTGTCCCTTATGGTGACAAATATTTAGTAAGTTGGAACGTTTTTCTTATGGATACAGTGTTGATGGATTTGGGGTTAGGGTTAGGGTTTAAGTAGATATATTTCCGCATGATCAATTAGAATTTGGTACATTAGTTTGTGAATATACCGTTAATACTGATTACTGAATACAGAATAGTGCTATAAAACCATGGAAAGAGCTGCCGCGGTTCGTTCGTGGCAGGAGCTGCCATGAAGTGGTAAGAACTGCGCCTCGAAAAGTTTGTATAGCCCTATAACACCCCACCTCTTTTTAATAATATAATTAATTGGGTTATTGTAGTTGATTACCTTAGGGTGGGTAATCTACTCTTTTTAAATACCATAATCTTATATATCTGATTATGTAATGCTGTTTTCTAAAAATCTAAAATCATAAATAATACATCTTTGAAATAAATTTATATATATAAAAAAATTTTAATTTTTGTGTGCCCATCTTTCATAGATTCTCATATTTACATAGTGAGCTAGATCATTTATCTTCTGATTTCTCTATTGACAGAATGAATCATTGAATAATATAAAAGCAAAATTTTTTTTTAAATGTGTAACTTTGTATCTATTACGTTAATGCCAAAATGAGCAATCATAGTGATGGCGAAACCTTAGACGATGTATCATTTTTAATCATAACGGCAAATGTTGGAACCTTGTTTGAAGATGTAAGTGAATGCTATCATTTTTAAGAAAAGTATATATTGTACACTGGTAATGCTATTACCATATAAGATAAATGTAATTTATTATAGATGCGAAACTCAGTATGCTATCTTGCAAAGCACTTTGAAATCTCGAATTGATCAAATTAGTTTTATTTAAGACTCTACTTCACCTCAACATGGTAATCACTTTTGAAACTTTTTGAAATAGATTATCTAGCCAGGTCGAATACTCTATTTTTTTCTGTGGGTATGAGATTGTTACATATTTTTATGATGTGTTAAAAAAAAAGTAGATATATAAAAAATAAATACAGGTTTTGGCTAGAGCAGGGGTTTGCAAACTGTGCCCCGCGGAGAAGTGCCAATTTTAAATGGTGCCCCCAGGACACAAGTTTTTAAATTTTAGTTAAGTTATTCTCGTACGTGCGAGCAATTCTAATCCTTTTGCGTTGCAAAGTCTATACCAGTACCTGAGTACCACTGCCATATTAGCAAAACTAGCTAACAAACTCTGTTGCAAAATACACAATGTTATGAAAACGGGTTTCTCACTGAATTTGTTTGAAGTCTGTGTGACAATGAATTTGAATATTAGTTTTTTTCAGAAATTTATGCGTTTTAACTCATCATTTCCGCTGGGACCCCTAATATTTTTTGTGCCTGCAACTACTAGAAAGGGTATCCCAAATAAAGGTGTGGCTCGCGGCTTCTACCAGTTACTTGTATCTGGCCCTCATGCAATAAAGTTTGCACACCTCTGGGCTAGAGACTTGATTTCTTGTAATTGGGTAGAGGTTGTATTTTATTAATTTTTTACATATGTGGGTTAGCCGCTAGTGCATCCCGCAAATCGCTTGGAGTGCGCCTGTCATCACATCTCTGATAAGTCTGCAGATTTGCAGGCTTAAATCCCTTGGGAGATATTATGCATGAGGATCGCTGGATTTTTTTCTGTCATGAAACGGTTGGTGGGTTATGGCTTCCTCCACCATCATTCCAAACAAGTAAAGTTATATAATATAAATATATAATATAAATTGAAATATAATCATTTCATACTACTTTTTTGTAGCTCTCTGGCCTTGAAGATGCTTGGATACAAGAATTCATCAAGGTATTATGAACTAGTGTGTTAAATGTTTATATCGTGTTTAAAAATTTAAAATGAAATCTTGTTTAGAAATGTCAGTGGGCTATAAAAGTAAGGATATGTATTGAATTATGTATTGGATTTTTTTATATGACGTTTATTCTCATATTTTGCTCCAAACTAGGCTCAATACAAATGGCCACTGATATTTAACAATATGTAAGTGCTACTATTGTTTGAAAGGATTGGAATGTTTCCAAGTCGGCATTGCCTACCCAATTTATTACACCCTAGGTAAGATGAAAGGGCATGAGATTTGAACTCAAGAAAGGAGCCGAGTATTACTGGTACTTTATAAAGCAAATTGTTTATCATGTTATGTGATATTCAAGTGTATTTTTATTTTCAGTTGATCGAGTCTCGATCTCCGCATTTCATTGCACTACACTTCCAGGAAGTTGGTGGTAAAGATTATAAATCGTCAATGTCTCATGTTGATGCTTTTATTGAGTAAGTTACTGTGTGTGAGAGTAATAGATTATATTATACTATCATCTTATTGGAGGTTTTATGACCATTGTGTCATATATTTTTAAACTTGAATGCTGCTTGTATACTCGAGTAAGGGGCAAATAAGAAACATATATTATTACTTTTTATACAACACTCTCTTTTCTATAATAATATTGATGTGTGTTTCTAATATTATTTTATTATAATTAGATATTCCCATGCCTCTGAAAGTTTTGTGTTTATTAATATATATCCTTCTTTAATTTTTATTTTCCCCTACAACTTTTCTATCGAAAAACCATCATTCTTGTTTCAAATAATAATTTAGTATATTTAATCAGTAAAATATAGATAATTAACTCAGATCATTTTTTGTGCTCGAACATATTCTAAAATGAAAAATTTTATGCAATTTATAGAATATAGATCATAGTATCTAAATCCTTACAAGACAGTATTTCCTATAGAACTCTGTTGAAATGGAAACTACTTTCACAAAGACAATGTATTCGTACAACCACATATCCATGCTTCAAACAAATTTGAATTCCGGTGATAGAATAGGAAATTTGAATTTGCATTCACTATTATTTCATTCTCACATTAAAATATTCTGTGGCCGAGCATGATCTGTAGAGTGATCATCAGCATACCATGCTTTGCGAAGAATTATTATTCTTAGATGAATTTACCTATTTAAACTGCAGGTGATAGATCTTCTGTTGTTCCACTCAACTTTCCTTCATTGGTTATTTACAGGGATTTTATAAATTCTCTTCACAATTTTAAAATGTTTATCCTTTGACTTTGGGAGAATTTTTTAAATTGTAAGATGAAGAGACAAACTGTACTTCGAATAATACATTTCATCAGTATACAGTTTAATAATAATCAGTGAATCAATCAACAATATATATATTAAAACGATGATCTTTTCTGTAGGAAAATATTGGCATTGCATGTACTTGAAGATTTTGACACGGTCCGTGGTTATCTCGATGAAGATTTTGATTCCGTTGAGCAATATACGGTAGGACTTAGAAAATCTATAGAAAAATTTGATCGAAGTAAATCAATAAAATAATTGAAAATTGTATTTGAAATTGATTTTCTTCTTCATCAACCCCTTAAGTATTAATTGAAATTGCAATTGGGATTTACAAATAATCTTAAAAGTTTTTGGATTAGGTTAAGCCTTGAGTATTTTTGGGCGCTTTCATAAAAATGAAATAGCTTGATCATAAATTATATTATCAATAGCCATGAGGATGCCAAAAGTGTAAAATAAGATTTGAAACATCATTTGATTAAGTTTGTATCTCTTTCTAAACAGAAGAAGGACAAGCTTGATGGATTATCCTATATTGATTACTTTCTGTCAAAGCTGTAGTTATAAAAATATTAGAAAAGCTTTTTATTTCAGTCCAGTGTATTTAAAAATTGACACTTAAAATTCCTGAAGTAAGAGTTTTGTGACTATTCGTTTTAAAAATTTTGTTAAATTCTCTCATTTCTCACTCTGGATTGAATTAATTTTTACACAAAAGAATTTTCCAAATTCAAAAATATATTCATTTTTTCAGGCACTTGGGAATTTTTACTTTGTGCACAAATCTCTGGATGGAACATCTATATGGAATTATGACAGTAAGCTAATGATGTATAATATTTAGCTTGCCATAATTTTCAGTTGAAATCATAATACTTAAGTAAAGGAAGCTTTCTCATGTGGCCAAGTTTTTCAAATAGTTGTATTGAACTTGGAATCTGCATATCTGATTTAGTTGTCATTCAAACACTTTCATTATTCATGACATGAAAAAGTAAATATACAGGGAGTCCCCGATTTACGACGCAGTTCCGTTCCTGAGACTCGGCTAATTTCAGTGTAAGTCGGAACATTATACTGTACAGTGGTACAGTGCATGAATTACTCTATACACATCGTACTGTATTGTAAAGTATGGTACTGTACACTAAGAAAATGTACAAATAATGCAAATAAGAACTTTATTAGAAAAACAGAAAACAATTCCACATCACGTGAATAAAAGCAAACACTGTACAGTATCTTAACATCTTTTTTTGCTTTGAGTCCATAACAAAGGGCAAAAGTAAAAAAAAAACGATCAAACAAGTTGCGAAAAAAACGGCTTAAACAACCAAAATGACGTACATTATCACTGAAACTGTTTACAGTACTGTACTGTACCATGTGACTGAAGCTTAGTGATTATTCGTTCATAATCGTAATAGTCCGCTATTGGTCACGTCATTTACGATGTAAATAACGAAAACCAATGAGCCCAGAGCACTGATTTTCTTGATCACAATGATCCAGTTTATAGGCTTAGGTGTTACAGTACAGTATTATCTTTTATATCTGTATATGTTCGTAAAGTGCGTTCGTAACCTCGAAACAGCGTTATGGAGTGCGCGTTTGTAACCTCGAAACATCGTAAGTCGCGACCGTCGTAACCCGAGGACTCCCTGTATGTAAATATACAATACTCGTTTTGAATGTTGAAATTGTCGATATATTATCATTTTGCTAAATGGCTTTATATTATTATTTAGCAATTTGACTCGAAACATAGGTAATACCATAGTCAGTAATTTAGTACATGAAAAAATAACATATACCAAAAATATGTCAGCAATGATTTAAATATATCCATGTTTGATGCCCCACCTGACCTCGAATTTGAATCATTCACACATTCTTAATGAAGAAATATTTGCAAACTAATATGGTTTCATTTTTTCAGAAAAAGAATTCTCTCCTGCACACGGTATAGAGGTATATGATAAAGATCTCGAAAAGCGTTGGGACTTTATTAAAGAAAAATTTGAACAAGGTTATTTCCCAGATGTGAGTATAATTGTTTCCATTTCCATAATAAGTGTTTCCATTTATTATCTGCAGGCACATGTCTACACTTCACTGTTAGTTCAACAATAAAATTTTTATTCGTTTTGATTTGAAATATTTATTGGGACTGCTACTAAGCAAAATCATTTTATGTGTCAAATTTTGTTTTTACAAATTCACATCAATTTTTCCAAGAATATGTCTTTTCAAAATTTGGTCACTTTTCTGAATGTACACCATCTCTTTTATTAATAAAGATTCAGAAAGAGTCAGTGAGCAGCAAGCCGCCAGCAAGACTCTTAAATCACTTAGAATTATTTTCTTTATTTTTGCTACTGCATCCTTGTATTATATGCATATTGGTACAGAAACATAGAGTAGTCGGTCCCGTAAAAATTCAATCAATAGCACAATTATTTCATTAATGTTGGGAATTTTAATAATCTCATATACACTTCTTTATTTTGAATTCCTAATTTTAGAGGAAATCCAATGTATTGGATCAGACAAACCTCATTGTGCTTCGTATTGATATTGATTTAAAAATGTTGTATGCTAATCCCTACTCATCTCTTGGGATTCGATCTCATCAATTGATTTTTGCTTGTCTTTATTGCTATAATGTCTGACAGTATTTGTTTAATCCTGTCAGGTTAATTAAACGATTTACAGTGAGCCAGTCATATCTTTTTTGAAGTTATTACCAGTAACTCGTTTTCTCTTTTTCAGTGCAAATGGTCACGAAAAGGGTACTCAAGAGTAAGGTGGAAAATAAAAAACAAGTAAGATTTATTTTCATTATATATATTTAATACACTTTTTCAAGATAAAATTATATGTGCTTCTTTTCTTCTGTAAAACAGTCTGTGTGTATTCCTTATGATTTGAGCATGATTGCTGTACTGGTTGGATAATAATAAGCCTGACTTAACTTCTGTAGTTATAATGTGTCAGGTTAATTTTTGAAAAATAATTTTACGTATGGAAATTTTTCAATTTTGGCTTATATTTATTACTTATTTCGCAAAATTCTGATTACTTATATTCATTTTCTTTTTAGTAAGTCAGGTATGCATAAGCACTTTATTTCTGAATAAAATTTAATCTTTTTAAGAACTGAGTTAAATGATTTACTTAATATATTTTGATGTATATATATATATATAAAATTTGTTGTATAGTATATCCAGATATATTATATTTAAAATTTGAATGAATTTTAAATCAGAATTCCATCGTATAAAACTCAATATATGAACCTGTAGACTGTGATCACCAGTCACCAAAAGTTTTTACTGGGACAGCGTGTTAACTACTACGCCATCGTTATGATAGAGCCACCCATTATGTTTCCCATAGTATTCGTTAGTAAGGTTTAATAATTGTGATGCCGTAATAACTTCCTGACGTCTGTCATATGCATCATTAAAACCATCCTGTCGCTATTTCATCATATTTTTTATTTGTTGCTGTAATGATAGTATTTGTGAGAATGGAAATACTATGGTGAAGTGGTTGAATATAAATTGATTGTAATTTTTTAATAGATAGGCTCTTTGACTTCACTTTCATTCCCAACTTGCACAAGATGTTGGTCTGTCACAAACTTTAAATTCCATGATTTATTTCTGTGTGATTGACCAAAGTTTTGTCAATATTGATTGTATGCTTTGTAATGCAAATTAAATTAAATTTTAGAATCTCTTTAGGATTAGATACTGTATATTTGGTGTTATGATTTTATTACCTAAAGCAGTCAAATAGATGTCATTTATAGGGATTTCATTTTCATAGTAAAACAAAAACTTTTGTCAAATTTATGAAAATAGGAAACTAATCAAATCACGATTTGTCTTAACTTTACTCAATTCATTGAATATAAATTGACATCTACATGTTCTTAATTAAAAATGGCACAATTTACACTATATCCTATATCGAAAATTTAAATTCAAAAGTATTATATGAATTTATATTGTATTCAGAATGGCAGATTGTTCCGTTTTCGCCTTCCCAGGTCCTATGTATGAGATAGAACGTTATTTTCTATCGTTTCTGTAATTTCTAAAACACATAGTTTGTGATTTATTTATTATATAATTCCTTCCAATTGTGTGTATGTTCAATAATAAAATAAATCATTATGTTATTGAAAATGTTATTAATACTATTTCATTTTCAATGCCTTTGTTATTACTAAGGAGTGCATTATAAAAAATTGATATAATAGGCCTAATCCATTTTTAATAAATATTAGAATGTAGTGAATATCCTTAATATGGTTAATGAGACGTATATAAACACTGTAGTATTTTGAAATATTTTGTTGAAACGTTTTTATCTCTTATGATCTAAATTGGGAGACGTATATAAACACTGTAGTATTTTGAAATATTTTGTTGAAACGTTTTTATCTCTTATGATCTAAATTGGTTAACTTTGAAGCAATGTTTGGATATATTCCTTCAGTAGCTCTAATATTTGATATTAACCATGACCGAATAGAAATATTCGAACCATACAAAACTTATTTTCAATACTGGGCATATTTTAATCTTACTCACACTAAATTAGTTTAATTCGTTATTGTGTATTTGAAAAGTAACAAGATTTAGCCGTGTCTAGTAATATTGCTTCAAAATTCAATTAACTTAGCAAGTAATCAATATCTCATTTTCCCAAATGCTTTAATTTATGAAAAAATGCATTAACTCGTATATATTATGTAAATTTTTTTGGATATAAAGCTTCTTGTTACTTTTTTAATTCAAAAATATTGTCAGCATTATTCGTTATCAAATTTCCAGACACCCATTTAAACATTTTTCGTGCAAGGTATATAGAGAACCCCATGCTTGACAATGATACACAAGACAATGTGAAGTCTGAGTTAAAAAAAATTAATGGAAATGATAGAGAGAATTTTATATGAAAAATGTACTCATTCTTTGTGATTGTGAGTCATATGTGTCGTCGTCACTGTGGTCCAAACTTATTTATCTATCTGTATATTATGAGTTAGAATATGTACATAGTCATGTCAAACTCTTATGGGAATTAGACTAACACAATTTTTTTTATATATTTTTATAACATTTTGTCCTTGGACAGTTTCTTCTATTATTCCATTCAAATGTTCTGTGGTTAGGTATTTTTCTTTCTGTGTGTAGGGTATAACTGAAAAGGAGGTAGATATTACTAACGAATTAATAATTTGTATAGGCTATATGAGGTATTGAAGGTAAAATTCCATTCAAGCCAGCAAGTTCTTCACCTTGATAAGTGTAAATATAAGAGTTATCTTCCAAAATGTGGAATGTAGTAATTTGAATAAACATTATCACAGTGGTTCCCAAACTGTAGTCACAAATCACAATGCAGTAGTAAATCGTCAGATAGGTTTGAGTGTGACACAAAATTTCAAACTATTTCCCTAATAATTTAGTCTTGCATTTAGGACTACTACGAAGATTAAACTTGGTAAAAGTAATGTTTTACATTATCAGATAGGTTTGAGTATGACGCAAGGTTTCAAATTATTTTCCTAAAAATTTAGTTCTGCATTTAAGATTATTACGAATATTAAACTTGGTAAAAAGTAAAGTTTCACATTATCAGATAGGTCTGAGTGCGACGCAGAATTTCATATTATTTTCATGAAAATTTAGTTCTGCATTTAGGACTACTACGAATCGCTGTAGTAGACATTCAATCTCAATGATATCGTTTATGTGCACAGAATCAAGCTCGCGTGAAAGTGCATAGCCTATATGGCCTTTTCCTTGTTGTGTTTCAATGTCACTGAAGTTCATTTTTCTTTCCAATACATCATGACATGTATGACAGTGTATGCGTTGTTCCTGTCAATTGAACAATTTTATCGAATAGAAAATGAATCACATCTGTCATTTTGGTTTTAATTAAATCGTTACATCCATCCTCGTATATTAATCACTGAAAATGAAAAATAAAAATTCTTTTTTTTTCAGGGTTTTCGAATTTGTCAATATTCATTTGTTCCATGATGACAACAATTTAGTTGCGATACAAAGTAGCCCATCCTCATATTCAAGGAGTAGGAAAAGAGCACTTAAATTCGTACTACAAAGGTGTGTAATGGAGTTTCATCATTTGTCATGCACGTAATTATTATCTTCAACAAAACTTCGGTTCTTTTTATTATAAGTGTTACTTCAAAATATGTGTCAATGATTTGCTTGTTATTTTTAAACCATTTTTGGGGGTTTAATATATAATTAACATACAATGTACCAATGTTAGGTGTTGTTGCTGTACCTGTATGTCGTTTTATATTGTATTAAAATCCTGCTTTTGAATTCAGTTCATTTGCATTACTATGTTCCAATTCTGAGTTGTGTATCTTTTATGAAATCTTTGCAATCATTCACTAAGAAAATATTATTATAACAGGCATCGTTATCGATACATTTATACGACTTCTGTTGATATTTGATATTTAGCTTGTTTTTTAATTCTTGAAACCATATTGAAATAATCCAAATGAAACATGTTAGTATAATATTCTTTACCGCACTATATGTTCATGCTTTATTTTTTCTCAGGGTTCAATCAGATCCGCCACCCAATGGAAATTACTTTATTTTTGGTGATTTCAATTTCAGACTGGACATCAAAGCCTTAGTCCAGGTAATCGTTAGTTCAAATTACAACAATGAATAGCAATAAGTGAATAATAGGTTGGAAATGCAAAGGAAGAGTTATATACATAAATACATGTGCTGCCATAGTGAAACTGTATTATTGATAAAAAAAAAGAAAATTCTGATCTAGAATTACTAAGCAGGAATTCTCAAAGGGGGGATCTCGAAATTCTTTGTTGCCAAGTTGGACTTGTAACAGCTATCGGGTCTGGCCGGATGCCTCTTTGAGTCTTGAGAGGTCTAAAAATAAAAAGCGTTTCAATCTGCAAAAAATTGTATGATACAGAAAAATACTTCTTTACATTTCCCCCCTGGCAACGCCCTGCTACTAAGCACTGGTGAATGTATAGAACGGAAGTATGAGTAAATTCTTTATTGTTCTTCACATTGTTCATTTCCCTATTCTTGGGTCAGTCAGGAAATGCCAATGAATACAAGAGAGATGCTGAACCCATCACTATTCTTATTCACGCTACTCGAACATTGAAATGTTTAGCCCAATCCATTCTTGTTATCTGTGCGAGATGCTGTGTTGTGCATATGACTATGCTGTGCCATTGGCTTTACTCATTTTTGGAGTAAATTTCAAATTCTATTTAAAGTCTCTAAATATTTGTGCTCTTCTATAAAAATAGTTTTGCTCAGTAATAAACTTGAGGCATAAAATGACTGATAGAAAAGCGTTATGAGTCATAACGCCTTTTTATCAGTCATTTCATGCCTCAAGTTTAATACTGAAAAAACAAAAAATGGAAGCAAAAAAGAAATGCATTACAGTTAAATTAAGCAAATCACAGTCCATTTACTTAAAATGGATGGAGTGCTCTCGAATTGTACCAAGTGAAGGCTCAGGTTTATGGTCCCACAGCGAGCTGAGGGCCCATTTTGAAAAACTTTAATTTATACTGATTTCGTAACTATTGGTTAATATTTTCGAATTATATTTTTCACTCATAATAGTTCATAACCTCAGCAAGGAACTCCTGTTAGTATTCCTATGTAGCTAACCCATACAAGTTAAACGATCGACTATGTACAAGCTTATCTTTATACTACATAAAATTATTTTTTTAATTCCAGAAATTATGTGCTTCAAGTAAACAACAAGTCATAAGGTCACAAGACAATGATGATATTTTGAGACTTTTATACAGAGCACCCGTATCAGGTGATGATGATTCTGATGCCAAAAACGATCATTTGTTACTGATGATCGAAAAGAAAGTCTTTCAATATGATCAAAAGTTGCTGCATAAAAATGGCAACTACGAACATGTGAGTGTTTACAACTATTACATTTTTCTAAGACATGTCTGAAGCTCTTTACTAGCAGCAACTATTTTTGCGAAGGCCAGACTGTTTTCAGTTTAGAATTGCCTACCCAATTTATTACACCCTGATTGAGTTGGTGGGATACGACCTGACATTCGTAACCCGCAACTCCAACATAGTTAGGTACAATACTCTAAAACCCCCTGTGATTTTAACCAGGGTTCGTCCCACCAGTCCAGTCCAGGGGTTGCGCGAGTTCCCATTTAAATCCTAGAGTCTATGTTATAGGTATATTGTTTAAATATACTCAAATACCTATTACGTTGCCACTATCATTAAACTTGCTACATTTTAAAGATTATTATGTTTTGCCAGTATTGGCTTTACTTTTTAGTTCATACAATTCAGGCAACCAAACTATTACACAGGAGTTCCTTGAGTCCCAGAAGTGATTCATTGGTGTTCTGCTCCATTAAAAGGGTTGGAAACCACTGGTCTATGCTCAAATGATTAGACCCTGGTGATTGGTGCCCCAAAGGATGATCAGGTTTAAGAAACATATTTAGGCTGAATTTCTATTCATATACTCTTGCACCAATTTAATGGAAAGAGTGTGTAATGAAGAATTATTGAAGTTCCCTCTTGCTGAAGTATTTAGTATAATCATGTATTTTTTGACTGTTTTTCACTGTGAATGGGTTCACGATTGATTCAATAGAATGTCCCTTTGCAACGAATGATATATTTTTTTTCACACAGTTGAGAAGATTTAATGGAGAATCCGAAGATTTATTAACAGACCTCAAAGAATTTTCATTTAATTTTGCACCCACGTATGTAAATGATATTCAATCTTTCATTATTGGACTTAATTATACAACCTGGCATTTTATGGTATTGTAGTTTTTTTTCCATATACCTTCTCGCAATCAATATATTGATGCTTTGAAACTGTACATACATTCTCGAGATGACAATGCTGATATTCATTTTCAACTTATCTTGACAAAATTTCAATGTTCCTGAATTTAAAAATCCTTTCAGTTTGGTAATCGCTGCCTTCGCTTTTTTGAAAATATATTCCATTTGAGACTCAATTTGAGATTAATAAAAAAGTAGCTGTGAGCATGACGTTTATGGAGGCATTACCACAAATACAACACAAATTCTATTTGTCTAAATCTATCATTTGTTTATACTTTAGTTATCCATACTCTGAAAAATTGAGTGAAGGAAATGAGTACATGAAGACAAGATGTCCAGCATGGTGCGATAGAGTGTTTTTGTCACCTCACGCATGGAACTGGGTTAATAACGAGGTAAAATGTTTAAAACTTGAAAATTCACTTGATGGCCTGTCGGGAATACAATGGTGTCAAGATTTTAACTCCCATAATGTAAATTTACTACTTTTTTACCAATGATTTAATGAATATTTTTTTAGTAAGTCATCTATTGTTAAAAATAGGAAATATATTTTTGTATAAGCAATGTCGCATTTGAAGAAAAAATAGCCACTTGTCTATACCAAGCAAGCAAGATATTTTCGAAATACCTCATATATTGCCCACTCTAACCTCCCAGTATATAAAAAAGGCGTAGACTCTCTAGAACATGACAAATTTGGTTCATTATAAACCTTGGAAACTTCCCAGCTCCGAGTGCATGCCTGTGCGAAATCTAGTTAAGACCTATAGCAAGGAAAAAAACACCTTTAAAAGATTTTCAGACAAATAAAATCTTGTTCTTACGTTCATTAATTATTTTGATTCACATACAGGGTACGAATATAAATTATGATACAATTGGAAAGCAAGTGTGCATGGGAGATCACAAGCCCATATTTCTTGCTTTTAATTTGAATAAAGAAGCTTTTGCAAAGGATGAAGACTTCAATGGCACAACACCTGCTCTTATTGAAGAATCATCGCAAAAAATAAATTCAGATAGCATACACAACAACAACAATTGCAGCAAAACAACGTCAACAGACTAACTGCAATTTTTTTCTTCGTCTTGTTAGAATAGGGCATTTTTAAGTAATTCACGCAGGCTTTTTAAGTAAAAATATTATACGCGAATCCAAATTAGGGTCATAAATGATGCTGAGTGTGACCCAGGTGTGAGATTATATATTGTACAGCTTATTTGTTATTTAATGGTACTATGCTTATCACTTGCCTGTATCGAGAGGGGGATACTGAAACCATTACTCCAAAACTGAATTAGGCTATTAGTTTTCCTAACTATCACTGATAAATTTTCTTCATAAATTCTTCGAGCAAACAAATTAGATAATGGTTGAAAATAAGTTTTATCTTATTTTTCGACACCCAATTCATCATTAACCATCATATTCGATTATAACAAGACAATTTGAAAGTCGGGGGTTTCAGGAATAACTTGTGACTGTTGAAAGTTTGAAAAAAAAATTATTCGAAAATATTACAAAAAATGGGTGCTTTTTAAGCTTTTGTTTTATCTTAGTTTGAAGCAATATTACCCAAATTATTTCAGTAAACAGAAATTTGAAAATTGTGTTTAATTGCTCAGAGCAGTTTTTTCAAAGTTTGTCTGGGGCCCTCGATGTTCCCTCTACGCTCGGCCCATTTTGTAACACATATTTGTTTTAGAAAGCAAAATTATTCTATGGATATTTACAAATGTTGTTGAATATTCATTTCCTCTGTAAGTTTTCTATTACAGCCCACTATCTTCAATATTTTATTTATGTCTTTGTTAATAGTAGATAATGAACATTTACACAGAGATTCGATGCACAATGACTAATAATGATTATTTTAATGAGCAATTTTAATCAATGAAAATAACTTGATTAATTTTAATTTAAATGTGAATTTTTTATCCATATTATGTAAATTATTCAGTCTTCCCTTTTATGTTACTGATTATTCAACACTCTTGAGAACTGCGAAAAATGGTAATATGTTACTATAGGCAAAATCAACTGAATACTGCCATCATCATACTCGAGCCATTTTTTTTTCTCAACACCAGTCATGACAATACCATGATACAGAATTTTATTTCTGATATTAATAGTGGAATTTATTAGTTTTCAGCACTTTATTGTCCAGTTATGCTAAACTAATGTCCATCACTGTTTTGTTAGAAACTACAGACAGATCATTCCAATTTGAATGCTACACAATAATTTCAACTCCCGGTTACTTTATACATCATCATCTATTCTTACAAAGAGCATAAATGATAGCTTAAACTACTTTGTTTACTGTATTATTGTTACATTGCTACATGCGCTTCCAGGAGAAATATAGTGTTTTTCTTTTATCAATTGGAAGTTCCTTTTATGATTGAAGCATGCTTGATAAATTAAATTGTGTAAAATAAAATGTTATGAAACCGGAGTGGCATTTGGGCAATATCTGATAGTTACTGCTGCTTTCATTGTTTTTGTTATTTCATTTAAAGAAGTGTATGTGCTCTAACAGACAAGTATTTCTACTCATTGAAAAGTTGAGATGCATTCAAGCATTTATCCAATGGTAAAATTTCGAGAAATTAGTAAACACACAATTTTTAGGTAAAATGAGATATTTCAATATGAAAAGGAAAAACTTGTCATACTGTATTGTGTGTAATTATCAGTTTTCCGAATTTTTTACACCTGACCCTAATCTAGACAGGCTTTGTAAATTTTTGTGAAATACTTTTCTATAGATAGGGCTTAATTAATTTTGTCAACATATCAAATCATTGAGTTAAATAAGGATAAACATGTACATGTATTGTAACTTAACATCTTATTCACATTTCTAATTTATTGCATTTTGCATATATAAAAAAAAAAAAACTTGAGGAACTAAGAAGCTTCCCTGGGGCATACCTCAAACATGCTGCTTTTGTGATTTAATCATGTGATTTGTGAAATTGGCTTGCTATATATTTGTGGAGGATGATTTTAGATTTTTTATCACTGCTATTTACTGTAAAAGCTGCTTTGTCGAATTAATCTGTTACTTTTTGATCATTTTCAGGTATTATATGGATAAAATAATCATTTTTTTTGCATGATAGTAGTGATTCTTCCTGTATCCTTGCCCATTACAGCTGTTCTCATACAACATCCTGCCATTTTTTATAACAATTTTGTTTATGTATGCGTCTGCCTGATTGCTCAATGATCATCTTAAATATGAGCGAGTTGAAATGTCCAATTTGTTTAGTCTCGCACGTCAACATTGAAAAGGCTAGTGACTTATTTTTCATCTCAGCATCTTCAGGGTTTATCAATACTTAAAGAAGCGAATCACAAGACCTCATAACACATCTAATTTATTTTTTCATCTTGTATCAACTTTATATGAGTAGTTTTATCAACCAATTACCTTCAAAATCTAATAATGTTATTGTGAATTTGGATGTTCATACTTAGAACAGCAAGTTTGTTTTTATACAGAAGCATTCCATAAGCAAGAAATCCAAATACGCAATCGCCCATCATTTACATTTGTTCAGCCCTGATGGCTTGTTGATTGAATCTTGGTCTAGCAATATATCTACAGGACTAAATCTCTCAGATTTGTGTCATATGCTTATATATGCATTGGCATTTATGCTCGTATTTACTGACGATAAATGTTTTCTCCATTCGATTTGAATAAGCCTGGAATTGGCATCTTTTTATATTCAATCCATATCTCTGAATGTTTTTCTACATCAGTAAATATATGGAAATAGATATGCTTTTTTGGTCACTTGCTTTTTTCCATAAATGGCATCGGTGTCTGAGTATTTGCGTCCAAGAGAGCTTCTAAAAATCTCCACTGTACATATACTGCATTGCTATAATCATCAGTAATCCTTGTTTGTTTTCGCAAATTTGTGTCGTCAGTTATGTGGCTAAACCTTGAGTATTAAATAATGTTTTGAAAGCAATGTCATATACAAGAAATTACACCTATAGCTGGTAGCTGATTGTTATGATTACTTCCTATTCATCAGAATGTTATTTAGATTTCTGTGGAAAAAATCATCATTGAGTGGATGGTTATGTCAAATATTTCATGCTAAGTTCAATGAAACATATCTTGCAAGGTGACTTCAATCACTTCGTGTAAATTTGAAACTGTGTTGATTGATTTGACTTTATTTGTATTTGAAATACAGATATATATATCACCGTTTTAAAATATATTACACTAGAACACGAAGTCTGTTTCACTCGTTTTTTTTCGGTGATTTGACCAGAAATTTTGTGATTATATGGCTGTAGTTTGCGGGGATAATTCGATGTTGCAACTAGAGTTGTACCTGTCGTGACAATCTTAACTTCTGCTACCCAGATTTTGTATACTCTACTTACACATATGGGTCTGTTGAAATATGTGAAAGGGCTTCAAAGATGACGCTATGTAACTGTTCTGAGAATGAGTGCATATAATGTTCACGATAGTCCCTGGAATCCAGAGCCAAACCCTCATAGTAGTCAATTATCTAGATTTTACTGAATATGTTCTAAATCAGTACCTGGACGTCAACACACGTCAATAAGTTAGTAATCGCAGATAAAAAAAAGTTAGTGAACTCGTTCTGTATATATATATCGCTACCCTCGTGTAACATGTAGAGGCAACCGCTAAATAATACTTGGATTATAGCAATTTACCTTAAAATAAATCACTTGTGATATTCTAATTAAAATCGCTAGTCGGTTACAGCTTCCTCCACCACCATCAAGTCCTTGCATCTGAAACGATTGAAAGGCTAACTTATCCCATACCCGGATTAGACTGATAACCAGTCGAGGGATCGTGGTTCGCCATATGATTTAGCCATATTATCGGCTCTACTCTCCCCCGGAATAAATATGTAAATCCTACACTCAAGACATGAGCCATTTGATGAGGAATATGACATCATACGTTGGCTATTGTTGTACGTACGTACGAATTAACCATTATAAACATTTTTCTGTAAACGAAAGAGCACAACCACTTTCCCACGATGTTTCGCTAATTGAACAAAATCTATCCCTCTGATTTCAAATACATGCAAATAACATCGACTTGTTGCCTAGGTAGCCTGCATCGTTTGACTGGTTCCACGTGTATGTGTCGAGTTGGTTGTATACTGATATGATGTATAAGTTATTGGCTCTATATGTATATTTTTGGATGTATATGTATATCACGTTACCGAGCCCTTCCGACATGCGCGTGTCCGGGTGTTTTACGGGCATTCGCGTCGGAGTCAAATTTTTGAGTTGAACAAAAACAAAAACACTAAATATTTCGTACTATAAAATTCTGTTTTCTCAGCGTTTGGAGATAACATTGTTTTGCCAATTGCCAAATATCAGATAATTCAATTACAGTAGAGATATTTTAAGTTTCAAATCTCCTAAAAATAAGTATTATACGATAATGGCCGGAAAAGTAATTCAACAGTTGATTCAATTATGAAACAATAAACCGACCAATCTTTGGCCGGATTAAAACAACATAAATCTATACATTATTACATTGCTTTGTACTAAGCTACTGTTGGGTGTTTTTATTTGTACGAATACGGTTTTATTTTTCTTGATCATTATTCCTACCCTTGTTTGTTCAGTAAACATTTCCAACATTATCATACAGAGCGTCATAAAATGACTGACACTGGCGCACCTATGCCGCCTCACTGGCGCTTTTACGACGGCTATAAATCGATTAATTATTGGTTATCGACACACCAATGATTGAATTTATGGCAATAAACATAAAACAAATATTTCCGAAGTCCTTTAAAGTTATGACTTGAATGGGAAATTCTGAAATATAACCTTTTATGTGAAAAGGCAAAGTTTACGGAGGGATCGTGAGCTGATGATACAGACACTATTCAGGAGCAGTCGTTGTTATTCATTACATGTAAATCCTTCTGACAACATTTTTATGTGATAGCTATAATAATTATTCGGTATTTGTATGCCATGCTACTATTCTGATTTTTGAAGATACACGAACTTTTGTTTGTTGACATCTTTAGGATCTCAATCCATATCACAGTTGCAAAGGGGTAAAATTGGGTCAATTAAGCACTGGGGCCAATACGGCCACTTGTTATATTCATGATTTATAGAATATCCTTCAGTAAAAATCGCATCTAAACTGAAAATTAATTTAAATTAAGTAAAAAAAATTTGTTATATGTGATTTCCTTCTGTTGTACATTCTTGTGGATTTGTTAATTTAAAACGTGGCTAGAATTCGGGGTAACATCAGTGAACATCTCAGAATGTTTTGTTTTAATTGACATCAACCCTCGCGAAGGGAACTGCCATTTTGAAAAACACCCAAATTCCCAGATAATCTATTTGATGATTGCGAAAGTAAACGTAGATGAAGGTGCCAATTGATAGCATAACCCATGCCCTTTTGTCGGCTTTTCACTGCAAACATACTTATCTGCTATATAATGACATTTTGCAAATACGATAAATTAATGAGAGTGGGTGGGATTTGTTAGTGTCTTGTTTGTAACTACGGTTCATCGTTCGATAAAGAAACGCCTGATAAGGACTCAAATGTGGCAATATACTGTTCAAATTTCAATAAACGGTGTGCCGACGGTGGCACGCACACTGGGCGAAAAACAAATAGCAATTAGCCATGAAATGTTGACCGTTTTTGGAACTGATTTATTTGACTTGTGATCAAAAGCAACTAAACGACCAACCTTACATGACGCACGTCACTGAGTCGTTGGTGGCGAAGTCTACGCATTGTAGGGTGATTAATATTGGCCCATACGGGAACGGTGTTTTTTTTTTCATTTGAATTAGGAAACTGTATTTGTGTTGCGGTAACAGTCTTAATATCATCTCAAGTGCATATTTCATATAATGAAACTAAAAAAAATCCCGTTTCTCACAAATACAATTAACCTGTCCTTGGGGTGTGTCGCCATATTCTTATTTTCCTTCATCGGTTAATAAAAATTAGATTCAGGGTCGCACTGGTCGATATTGGTAATACCTCTTATAGAATAAAACCTCAAAATATACCGAAATGAATGGAATCCATATATATATAAATATAGCTTGGATTCTTAGTCGAAAATTAATTTTGAAAACGAAATCTTTGGCGTTAGCTATTTTTTTACAATTCGACCCTAAGAACCAAAAGTCATACTCACCATTCCGAAGAATTCAAAATGTCGACGCCAGGAATTTGGCATAAAATTCCGGATCCGACTCCTACGCTACACAATAAACGACAAACTTCGCCTCCTTGGCTGCAACGTCATATTGAAATTCGTGTAAATCAAAAGAGACAAATATCCTAAAAAGAAAGCATTTACCACGAGAGGTAGTCTTACTCATATAGCCACAAAACGCTGCATTTACATGCACTGTGTGTATTAATTAGTATTAAAAAGTGAAACACCGAGGAAAAGTCATTCAGCATGTGAGCTCATGGTCTTACTCATAAGTTTCAAAACTATATTCACACACTGTGTGCATGGGTATTGAATAATGAACCACCACCAACATTCGATTCAATTTATTACAACATATCTTAGTCGCAGATATTGATTCAGACGTCCTGATGGAATTTTTGGTCTATAGATAAACATACCATTGTTTACGATGTACTTTACGTCTCTCAAAAGGTTCTTCAATGTTAAAACTTTCACGCTTTCATTAATAGCACTTAACAATATGATTAATTACCTGCAAATTAGTATTTTGTTGGTCATTTCAATTAAACTTGGCTTTATTTTGTTGAAGGAAGGTATTAAAGTGCTTACTAATAGCATAGTGGCGATAACAAAACAAATACTTTTTGGAGGCTGTAAATTTTGCGGATCTGTCGTGCAGAGATCCTGAATAGAAAATGATTGAAAATTAAAATTATAAAACAAACACGTATGTTGCGGAAGAACTTTTCATAATAGGATAAATAATTCTACTTTACATCTTTGCAAGTTAGACTGTGAGCATGGATGATTTTCTCATCTGTAGCACTCGTGTTCAGCACATGAAATGGACGGTACCGATGGACCGTACACATGGTTCATTTTTATAAATTGTGGTTGTTGTTCTCGTGAAAAATTGGACGGATCGATCTTCAAGAGCCGCTATAGAAGACTCACATGGATCGATGTTTCATCCAACATTTTGAAGGCGCAGAAAAAAGCAATGAGCTCAATTCACCTTTAAGAGACATTTGCAATAACCCTCAGAGAATCGAATCCTATCAAACGCTTTTCCCTCTCTGCTTCCCTCTCTGCATATTAATCCTCGACGCAAAAATTCACCAGACCTTAGGACGAAAGATAGGGAACTTTTTTAATTCTCGGACAATTGGGCTGACTTCTCGATGTATCAGTCATCGCACTCGAGATATTTTTCAATTTTTGAAACGTTACCAGGGTAAATGTGTCTTGTCACGTATCATATCCAAAATGCTTGGTATAAAAATGATTGCAATATATACGAATATACAAGTAATTTAAAACACATCACCTCATTAGGAAACATGGCTGATTTTGTAACTATGTTTTGAATTAGAATACATATAATTATACATATTCAAGCAAATTATGAGGTAAAATAATTTGCACTCATATTTTACATTTTCTTTGTTATGAATTTTTATTGAATGTATATATATATATATATTTATTTTAATTCCGTCATGATTTTGTTATCTTTATATTATTGATCGTTAGCATTATGTCATTAAGTTTAATACGAAAGCGGGCGAATGAGACTTTTATCAGCGGCATATCTTTTATAATGTTGGGAAAGGTGTTATTAATGGCCATTCGTCGTCTGAGTTTCAGTGATTACCTGAAGCTATTAAATAGCAAGTTTCATAAACACATCACACATGATTGAGTATAACTTGATTTTGAGAGATTTGGTAAACAGATGATTTCTCTTTATTTCGGTAAACACAGAGTGATAAATGAATGTTTGTAAAGTCATTAGTTGCTTATATGATAGTCCGCCACTACTGATACAAACGATTGATTGCATAACGCCCAAAGTAAGTATTCTTTATCGTTAAATTATTACCCACTGGTATTCAGGAGACACAAACATGAGTAAGAAAAAAAAATGGAGATGAGTTAACAATTAAACAGTGGGTATAATTATCAGTTGAGATTACGCGAGACTACCTTTCATGGCTATGCCTTTGCGCAGTTGGATCCGTATGAGTATAACGTCCGAATGATGTATAGCAAAAATAAAAATGGCCATTCTATTTGATTCAAAAGTCTTTCTACACAATAACATTATGGATTTAAGTAACGGTATTATATCATAACATTTTCTTTGTTTTCGCGGAGATAGCCAATAGCATATCAGAATAAGTCTTACATACTATGTTTGTTTGAGCGATTCCTAAACGAATACGAAACGAATTAACCGAAATCGGTTCAATCCCGATTTGGATACTTGAGACTCCTTCCACACCATCCTGAGATTGGGGTTGGGCTATGGCAGTGGTTCCCAACCTTTTTTGACACATTCCTCCCTTGGCCAATTCTTAAGCTCCTGTCGCCACCCCATTTCGCATAAAACCGGTACTCTGGCTTTTATATTTTCGAATAGTTTGTAATGTATGTATTACACTAATCAGTGGCGTAACTATGTAGCAAAATTGAAAAAATGGGCCTTATTGATTGTTATTCGGCAATTTTTATTAACTCAACAGTTGTTGCTGAAATAAGATCCTTGTACGTTAATATTTGAGTAAAAATACGAGTTTCATTCATTTCCATTTTTTACTTAGTTAATTATTATTAAAAATTTTAAACTTTTAGATCTTTTTGCGCCCGTACACAAACAACGTCCATAATACGAGCCGTGGCTATCATACCCTATATATATACGCTTCTAAGACCAAACTAAATAAGTGAAAAATATTCCTAGTACTACAAGAAAATACAAAGTAAAATTTTTTCCGCCAATCAATCAAATTTCACCTCAGTGGGGAAACGTTGGGCCAAGGGTTGACTTTAAATTTAATAACACATTCAATACGGACTGTGTATGCCTTTTCGTTTTACAAATGTGAACGATTGGGGTTTTAAAATAAATCTTCTATGTTATATTTGAATTTAAAGTATTAACCCAGTCCCAAATATTCAACTTCGATAAATCACCAATAGTGATCAAAGGGTCTTTTTGCTTTGAAATAACGAAACAATAAAACCTTTTTTGTTGCGCGGGGCGAAAATTATAAAAACAACATTTTACTAATTTTTGCTATTCATGTCTTGCCAACCTTACGTGACAGAATTCATCACTGTTGTGCTTGACGCTATATTTACATCAGAGCCGACCGCAAATTAGACAATTCCTAAGAATTATTGATAAAATCAAGAGTTCGAAATTTGTGGTTAGCAAATGTTGCTCTCACATTGCGCATGAAAGGCAATATTGAACATTAGCTTACGTATGTGAATACTTTAAGTGAATAAATTCTATAGCACTTAATGAAAAATAATGCTGGCAACTTATGCATGAACTGTCTGGCAGTATTTTGATAAAGTTGAAATGTTTAGAAATCAAAATAATGGGGCAAAAACATGAAATGAAAACGTTTTTGATACACAATTCTCGTATATTTCTCTTACTACGTATATAAAAAGATACAATGAATTCTAGCAGTATATATATGAGGCAAAACATCACAAAGGAGATAGACTGGTAATGTATGTATGTTTATTTGTCTCGTGAAGATAAGATATATAACAAGGTGACAGGATTAACAAAGTTGGAAACGGAATGCATGCTCAATACCATAGAGCCCTAAAACACAAATGTGCGACATCCACCCCTTTGGTTAAATATTGAACAAACAAAAAAATATTATAAGTATGGACACTTATGAAGACACCCAGAAAACGACTAATTTTTGATCAATACTAAATTACTACAATTCCGCAAAGATGGTTTATTTCTAGACTGCAATCACTGGCGATAATATCCTATCATTCAGAAAAAAAAAGTAAAAAGTATTTTGTTATCTACAATCATTATTGTTATACCCCTGGCCAGGTGAAGGTCATTCAACTTCTATAGGATCCGTTCTGCAGACATTTGCGCATGAAGGTCAAGAAAAAGAAATATAGATGATGCATAATAGCCTTTAGTTTGTAAACTTCATGGAAATCTCAACCTTTAACAAAAAGTGTAGAAGTAACAGGATGCATCTTCCTCATTGAAAATAATGTGAAAATTAAATGAACTGCGTTGATTTAAACTCAGGTATAACATCATTTCCACGCCATCGTCAAACATTTAATTTTTGGGGCGTCACTCATTTTTTGTGCGGAATCGGTAAAGACCGCCTGTGGCATCAGTGCCTCGATCATGGTTTCGAACACGAATCATGATATTGGCTAATAGATGTATATGAATCGTAGCAACGATTAAAATTCCACCCCTGATCTTTTTGCCAAGATAAAAGCAACGGAAATATTTTTTTAGTAGCAGTAAATATGGATCTTATACATATTGAATATATGTATACACATGGAAAGTTTTTTGTTTTTTCATAATCATGACCTTAGGTTTGTAGTTTGCGAAGACAATATATGCACTAATTTCGAGAATGCGGAATTATTCAGTCTTATACGAAATTCTCTCGACGAAAAATCGAATTGACTTTGAATACTATTGTTTATTTCTGTTTATAGTATAATCTATTATGGAAGTATTCTAATTTTGTTTACTGTTATTGGGTTTCCGCCATTGACTGATTTTTGACTAATTTGTAAAATGCTCTGCTGAGTTAAATACATTTTATTCATTATGTCAATCGTTCATTATTATTGCTTATTATGCTGGCTGAATTAAAACATGTGCTTGAATAAATCGCGACATATGTGTATCGGTCTATCGGTTCTTTTGTTTCCGAAAGCGACATTCGTGTTTGGTCAAGTAATCATAATTTGTAATTGTCCTATATAACATAATAATATAATATCGGACAATTCCCTAGACTAGGAAGCTGCAAAGATTGCACCAGAAATTGGATATCAATAAAATTGCCCCGAACAATAACCAATCAAGTTGACGTAGTCATCATTCTAGGACCTACGTAATTCGACAAACCAAGGACGGCAAGCGAGAGAAAGCGAGGCCTCGAGTGTGCCGTTTCATAAAACCACGCAACTTGGTTGAGGAACGGATCATTTGCTCATCTAAACGGCATAAGTAGGAGGGTTTTCATTAACTGTATCTTCAGTTACGTAAATACTAAAAAAAACTTTACATTTTTGAAATTAGGCTTAGCAAAAACAGCTGAAAGAGGTGACTTGTGATACAGCACTTTTCGTTTAGCCTAGAATATTCAATAATCATAGTTAATATGGAAAGTTCAAGCGGTTCAGGAGCATTCTTATTTGGGGGAAATCATGCAGCAGCGGCTGCAATGAATGCATTACATGCGGCTGCGGCATCCGGAATGACTGACGCCAATGCAACAGTTCAAGGACTCTATCCATATTCTGCATTTCAAAGCCATATTTCTTCTGGAAATTTGAAACCAGGACACAGCTCCAGCATTGCGACGCCATTTGGAATCAACGATATATTGAGCAGACCCAGCAACGGCGGTGAAGCATCGTCTTCATGTTCCAACACAAATGTTATGGGAAGTTCGCCTGTTCACCACGGTCACATCATGCCGCCCAATTCACCTGGAGCTGCAATGGCACAAGCTGCTGCAGCGGCTGCAATGTATCTTGGAAGTAGTGTTCCGTCAAATTCATCGGGACTGAACAGATATTCTCAACCGCTCACTGAACTTCCGGGCCGTCCGGCGATATTTTGGCCCGGGGTTTTACAGGAAGATTGGAGGGAAAAGATGCAACGAGGTAAGATAATTGTCTTTAATAGAATAGATAGGATACAGAAACGAGGTGTAAAAACATTAATAATTACTTATCGAAAAATAATTCAAATGCATATAATCTTCGTCTGAGTCGTTTAACAGCGGACGATTTATCATTCCAGCCAAAGTAGCTACATTTCATTCTCCGCTGTTCGCGTCCGTCGTTCCCGGTGTTTGAGTTAAAATGGCGACGTATGAATTTTGTCTTGGCAGTCTATATCAGAGGATTACACGAGACCTTTACTAATATGCAATTGTTCTGGTTGATCCACACGCTAAATGAAACCAGTTGGCCTGCAGTATTGATATAATTTACAGGAATCTGCGGCAACTGGATATGGTAACCCTATATATCAGTAATCTCACTATATGAAAAAGTCGAGCTCCTCAATTCTACAATCTGCCCATTTTCAAACAGTCTCCGAGGCGGAGGAATTCAGCTAAATTTGTTGTGTTTCTATAAAATTGTATTCAACGCCAAAATTTTTGTCTCAATTTGCGTCCAATTCAATCTATAATTACTGTTGGCTTTCATTTTTATTCGCATTGAAAATACAGCTGGGGACCAAAAAAGCCAAAACTTGTTGGGTTATTGCGAGATGTATATAAAAATTGAGAATTTAAAATGTTAAGCTCTAAGAGCGATTCAAGTTTATTACAATTTGTGCATTTTGCTTCCGCAGATAAAATCTCGGATACCTAATAGTCTGTTGCCAAGAATAAAAATATCATTTTATTTTAATATGTTGCATTTTGAAAGATGTTTTTGCATGGTTAGAATACAGTAAAATCGATGCTATATGTTGTGGGTTGTAGAAAAATATGTAACATTGGCCATTTTAGTAAGTATGTGGAGTATAGGCCCAATACCAAGTCGTAAAATGTTTTCTTTTTAATATCACATCTTCCAACTTCTTCTTGAAATACGTTATTCTTTAGGTGTTTCAGGAGGAGGTGTCGGAATGGACAAGTACGGCAAGAAGAAACATACCAGGCCAACTTTTTCTGGACAACAAATATTTGCATTGGAGAAAACATTTGAACAAACGAAATACTTGGCAGGACCCGAACGAGCAAGACTGGCATATTCATTGGGAATGACAGAGTCCCAAGTGAAGGTAGGGTGTAATAGACAAGTTTAGAAACATGTTTATTTCGAAATGTTAGCATTTACCAGAATCATTTGTAAAACATTCTAATACGATGATCAATAATAAATGACTGGAGGCATTTTTATAAAAATCAGCATTTTAATTATTTGTGGCATTATAAATGGAGTCTTCTGCAGTAAATTTGTAGACGTGATTTTTAGAAAAATGTTGCTTTTAACCTCGCATTATTTCATAAATTGGCTTGTTTGAAAATTCTGTAATTTTGCGTTGTGTATCATGCCGGTAAAATCACGAATGCGTGGATTAAACATATCAGTATCACGATATCTGATTTGAGCTTGAGTGTGACAAAGTATACGCATTTTGGACGCTTATATCCATCATAAATATAATACGAAAACATCGCTATCGTATTGTATAATGTGGTAAAATTTATAACATCCTGAGTTAGGTAGGGACATAAGATTTGAACCCGATATGTGTAATCTGCAATACCGACACAGTTGAGGCTAACGCTTCGGTCGCCCGCCCATCGCGATGCCAAAAATATGGTTTTCAAACATTTTTCAAATTCAAATAGCAAAGAGTTGCTGTCTTGTATTTTGGCGATAACTAATGCAAAAAAACATTTGGTAACAATTATAGCCCGTTAAAGCATATCATTCAATAGAAGCCTTTTTGGGGAATAAAATCGAATAGAAATGGAAAGAATGGCATAAAAAAGCCATTATTCATGTTTAGATAGGCTGAATGCGCAAAGTTTTTTTGTAAATTGTGTATGATAACCTCGAAACTGCAACATTAATTTAAAAATTGCAATAACTAATAAACAAAATCAAAATATAATGTTTGATTTATTATCATAATGCATTTGGTATAGGTAAATATTAACGGTAACTAACGGTAAATCGACATCCATCTCCGATACAATTAGCTTAACAAGACACTAATATGCTTTCTGAGTAATTGCTCAGATAATGCAATCATGGCATTGAAGAGTCTTTGTATTAATCGCTTCGAAATTCAGGTAAAATATTTAAATGATTATTAAATTATTTTTTGGTTCAATATCTATAATATATTATAATTGTTCATTGAAATTTGGTTTATATTATACAGATAAATAAAACTTACTAATATACAAATTACTAATCCTATTATTATAAGGTTAAGTTCTCAAAATTTTTCCTTGACATTTGCAAATTCTCCACTTCAGAAGGTTACTTATCCAAATTGCGAAATATTACAAGGAATACTCGAATCCAAATATTGTTCCGATCAATTAAAACACTTCTTATATTTACTTTTTGTATAACTATCAAATATGCTATATTAACTCTGAAATAGGACGTTATCATGTTTGAGGTTTTATACCGCCAAATAGCGTGTAGATATAAAATGGCCCAGGTTTGTAAAATAGCTTTTCAATATTAGACTAATTTAAATATTACCTGAACTAACTAGAAACTTCAATTTTGTTTCCGCCAGCTCACAACATACGTGTTTCCATATATATATATATATATATTTTGTAACATTTTAATACCGCGTTCACTTTTTTTTCTAAAAATACAATGGTTTGTGAGATTTTTAGCCAATAGTTTAAATAAACTTTTTTCCAATTCATTAATTCATTTGTATTCTGAATTACTTTATTGATTGCGCATATTAACACATGTGTGTATCAAATGAAAATTGAAATTGATCTTCGAAGATTATTTTTACCTTGATTTTTATCACATCATTTACAGACTTAAACATTTACGAGATATGTTATATGAGTTCAAAAGCAAATAAATCTGATATAATCTTTTTTCGAGTTTAAGTTTATCATAGTTATCTACTTAAACAGATCAGACTGAAAATCTATTTTTATTATACTCGCGGAATGGGTTACAAATTGTGTTGAGGAGAAATTCGGTCTAATTTTATTATCTAACTCCTCCTGCCTTATATAATATATTTTTACACCTAGGCACAATATAATCAATTTATAATTCAATAATAACAACATGAAATTTAATCATTTAATATAACAACCTTAAAATGTCGTCGAAAGCCTCATTATTTTTTCGAGTGTCAAATTCCCCTTCAAATTGACGCTGATTTATCGTGATTTTTCTGCAATGTATTGTAAACGCTACAACAAAATCGACCAGAAACGCACACGATATAATATAATAAAATCAGGCTAATTTTTACATTGCTAAATATTTGTTGAACTGGTCTGGGTAAGAAACGTCATATTTATTCAATTTCTGCGCCCATAAATATCTTCAAACGTCTGATCGCCAGTACAGAATTTGTTACGCGTTGACATGCGCCAAAAGAAATGCCTATTTTACAGACGGTAATGTGAAGTGTACAACGCGATTTTTGTAACTATATTACTATTTTTCTAGTGAACTGAATTTATAGTTTTTATCAAACTTCATGCAGTTTTACACAATGCGAATTTTGCGCTTGATGTTAAAAAATCGAGCGCGGCAATTAGAGTTACATGTAATTTTGAAGGGATTTCCTTTTTGTAAAAATTTTGTTAGTTTTATTCCATCGGTTTCGTTAAATTCACGTTAGTTACTTTCCCTTTTAGTTTTGTTAGATCATGATGTGCTTGTCGTATTTGAACATAATATAAAATGTCTGTCTACACGTTCACTTACATAATATACACTTATAACATGTTTGGCCTAGAGATTTAAAATCATACTGTCACGTTAAAACGATCTAACTCGATTTAACACAATTATTCGATCCAAAACGATCGTTGTAAAAGCACGAATGATTAACGCGACACATCGATTTTGTTGAGGATAACAGGAAACGTAATAAAGACCGCGCACTGGGACAACCTCTCAATTACAATTGCCTGTAAAAGCTAATTGCTCCGACACGCCAGGATCACAGTAATTTTTCACTTCCCCCGGGAGCTTCAAGTCAGTTGGCCCTGAGACAGAGGAAACTGGAGCGAAAAGCGATCCGTTGGGATGAATTCAGTTTAAATATTCATGACGTTTTCGCAATTTTTATGTCAAAGTAATCGCCCATCCGATTTGATTTTCTAAGTGACGTCTGACTAATGATCACTTTAGCACAAAAATCGTTTCAGCTTATTAGTTACTGAAACATTTTACCAAATGAGCCGAGTAATATTATTGATTCTACATTTAGAAATTTATTGTTTGAATAGGACAGAAAGACAAGGCGGTGGTTTTCATATTGCCGCCCTGTGATATAGTTGAAAAAACGACCACCCAATCTGAAATTAGTCTTCGCTGAACGTGAACCACGTCTCGACGGTATCAACCATTTTAAACTATATTTAGCGGTATTTGAAACAAATGAATTTTTGTTAATCATGCCCACCCAGTGAATTTAATTGAGCCTTGATTTATAAATTTCATAATTACGATCTGTGAAATGAGATTTTCAAATGGCAAAAGCGTTCTTTTCATTCGCCTAAAAATTAATTTAAGAATGCACTACAATACACACATTAGACGTCTAATCAAACCAGATATTTTGAAATTATTATTTATTATTAGTAAAGAATTTCATTCAGCATCTAACAATTATCAAATGTAAAATATTAATCGGCTATCTTCATACAGTTATTTGAACGTTTCTGTTCGTAGCTCCGTTGATTGAATTCCCGGGTTTGCACTATGACCTGCATGTCATAATAACTTCGTTTACCACCATTGTCAAAGAGTGCACTCTATTATTAAAAAGATTGATAGTACAATTGTATATCGACTATTAAAAAAATGGCTGAGTGCATATTTTGTAGTGTATATACGGTTTAGAGAATTTAAGATTACTTTTGTTTATTCGTGATGCGAAAATATTTTCCAGAATCAAGAATTTACTATAAATACCCTATAACATGATAAACAATTATGTCATCTCAATTTTACTTAAAATAATCCGCTTTTAACAATTTTACGTAAATATTTTCGTGCTGTAAAGTACCCGAATAATTTTCTCTTTCATTTTTTTATATTATTTTCGTGTTCTCAATCTATACTAATTTAATTTTAAATTTATTGCTTTTGATAATACGACCTAAGTATGCCGAAAAATCGATGCAGGCAATTAAGCAGAGTTTTAAGCTGTTGTCCCGCTTTAAACGGCGTCCAACGAGAGACCTAAAGGTGTCTTACACCAATTATCTGCACATACACGACTTATCCATTATCCCAAACGTACAATTTGTGCAAGTATGTCTCCATTATTGCATAAATTTCGAAAGGGTCTGAAACGTCTCGCAGAGCGGATTTTAGACTTGAGCGTTTGACGTTGAGTTAGGGGAATAATTCCATTAAACATTCTAGCAAAGAAGATGGAACTAAAAAAAAATATGGTCTTGACAAGTGTTATAATTATCGCTGTTAATATCAGAGCATTCATTTTTCAAAACACCGCCGCCATTGTTTTTCTATTCCATTTCCATGTTTTTTATACCATTTCGCAATTGGTTTGCGACTAACCTATCCTCCCTAGCATAACACAGCCATCTGAGAATGCATTGAATTGAATAAATCTGATTTCAATTCATTTTCTATGACGCAATTGGATTTTCTCAGTCTTTACCTTCATCATTTAATAGAGGTGAATAAACTGAAAATAACGATTTCAATAAACGCAAAAACATTTTATCGTCTTTCAAAGTAACCAGACAAATTAGCTGTCATTTTGATGACGATAATTTATTTTTCGGAGCGGACAAGAGTATTTTAAATAAGGATTTTATTGAAAGCTTATTTGACGATCAACAGCTTAAATAAATTAAATAAATGCTATGTGTCAGCTGGACTATTAAGTTCTATACCCAGTTCTATCATTAAGTTCTATCGTTTGGCAAATAAGCGTTTAACAAACGATTTTTAATTCAATTAGGTTGCTTGCTGGTCCCGTAATAGCAAATTGCCATATTATGCAAACGCTATCGTCATGATTATTTACAAATCCTTTGAATTAAAATGGTGTCTGCTAACATACTTAATAATGAGATTCGTCTTGTTGTCCATTGCAGGTTTGGTTCCAAAACCGACGCACAAAATGGCGGAAACGTCACGCAGCTGAAATGGCGACTGCAAAGAAACGACACGATAGCGAAGTAAAACAGAAGGCTCAAGAGCGGAGAAGTACTGATGGCTGCGATGATATGGATGGTGAAATTTCCGGTGAAGATGTGAAAAATATTGCTTATTCTCAACAACCTCGCGACGGGGAAGATACGAGAAATTCCAGCGATGCTGGCGACTTAGATTCACAGGATTTATCGCCTGAAAATTTACATAAAACTGATAATTTTAACTGTAATGCAAACTTCAATAATAACAATAATATTGATTGTGACGATGATTTCAAACCGCTTTCTCCGAATAGCAACATGAGCACACTTACTGCAACCGACATAGACAAGGAGAGAGAATTCAAATCTTTGCTTTACAAGAAAACAAACAACGATGGGTACCAAAGTTCAAGAATGCGGAAGCCATATTTCCAGCCACATTTCCGGGATTCATCGCCAATTGAATATTCTAATACCTCACAATTTGACGGGCATTCTATTCCATGCTCTGAAGTTGAAAACGCAAAGCGCAGCATTCCGAGTGGAATGATGCCACAAAACTGTTCAAGTAATGCCATGGAAAACATGCAAGCGCCTACGTTTGCAGGAGCAGTTCAAGGCATTTCGTTCAACGCAATTACAACATCCGGCTTACCGGTATTGAGTTCGGGCTTGGGAATATCAGTCGGATCTTTTCAACAGCCTATTGCAAATGATCGCCATTTTTCGTCCAATTCTGTGTCATGTGCAGGCGACCCTATAAGATATTTCTAACACATCTACAACAAAGTATATTTGCTAGCAAGTTGTTTGCGCCGTTCCGAAACGTTTTCCCAGAAAAATATATAGCCAATGAGCTATTCTCTAATCGCATAGGCAGAATATGGAGGGAAAAATCCTATGAGAAATGAATCGATTATGTATTATCTAAAAGGAAAACCAACTAATCTGCCGACTGTACTCAGATTCAAGGTTACATGCACATGTTTTGTCTTTTGTCTGCGATATCCCATTAGGTTAGCATTCAAATTTCGCTGGGTAACAAAGGAATGAACTTTTAGGATAGGTGTCTTTGTATACATAATGGCGGAATGTGTCGTCTTATAGCTAGGCATAATTGGCGATTTTTCGCCCCTGTGAAGTAAAAATGGATAGTCCGTTGGTGGCTAAACCACCAATGGCTGTATTTTTAAATGTGAAATGGTAATTAATAAATTTGAAACTGTTTGCATGTAAATCTAAATAGAACTGCAAAGTAATCGAATGAAAATTTTCTCAGTTTTGATGTACCCACCTTACCATTATGGAATATTTTTTGTATCAATTATGTTGTTATTTATTATTTAAACATTTTGGAGTTTCAATATGGCATTTCGTAGAATGAAACCGTTATAAAATTCATTATGATCGAATTTCATCATGTCTTCCTCAGCCGTATATAGTGTATTTGGAAACATGACCCTTTTTCTATTATTTTTGAGTATACAAGTTTTGCATTGCTGTCGTCTGTTTTTATTGTTTGAATGATATAATCTCATTTCAAAAATGATATATGTGCTACCGAATACACAGCAACGCGTAAAATGTTTTTGCTAGTACCTGTTGTCTTTTGTTTACAGTTAACCACATTAGCATTTGGTTAGAGGCAGTTGCATGGGTTCGTACAATTTAACAACGAAAATGAGAGTTTTTCACTGACTGATAGGACAAGTTTATAGCGTGCTGTAAAGCTGTATAATTGACAATCGCAAAGACAGTAGGCTCTCCCATATTAGTCTACAATTAATAGTGCATTATATGATTCTAGAAGTGCAAGCTTGCTAATGTTCTACAATAGCAACGCTTCAGTATCCCCGTTTCGAGAAAACTTTACAACGATATTGACGAAAACCAGCAATTACTTTAATATCTGATGGATTTTCAATAATAGATTCAACTTCAATTTGTCCTCTTTCACACTACCGCTTGACAAATTCAAATCGTAATGTTTGAAATTTATTCTTATTCCTGACAGTAATTGCCCAAGACAAATTCTCTAGAAGGGGATAATATAATGAAGGACGCAATTAATCTAATCGCTATAGTGCATCGGTCTCGATAAAAAAAAATCAAATTCAAATTGACAGCACCATATTTGGACGACATGAACTAAAATGGTTTTTATATTCGGTCAATTACAAAAACAAACAGAGAAATTTCCTAATGCCAGTCGATAACGCAATATGCGATATTGTGCGGAGAGATCCCCTTGGAGCATCGACATACCACACCTCCCAAGGGAAGTGAATTAGTGCTTTATTATAATTATGACACCAACTAATATAAATATGAACAAACTGAGACATGGTGTGATTAGTTGAACGAGGGACCTCCAAGAGCGATATTATACGGCTCATCACATAAAAGCTCATAATGTTCGATAATATCTTAAATATTTTATTTTATACGCACGGGTGTAAAGCCATATGAATTCACGTTGGCGCTTGCGTTATTGCACATTGATGAAATATCGATTACAATTGTTTTAAACAAGAATAGGGTATAATATTTCATCTAGCCATGCTTGATAAATATTAAAAAATAATTACATGTCTTCGTAAAGACCAGTGTGAACTGTTAAGAACGAAAGCATATGTGGCTCATCTCAGGCAAACTTAATTTCTGACCGGGGTGCAAGTTAATTTCTGACAGGATGGCCATCATGTATTTTAATACGTGTCATTCACCGAAACCCATCGGGAATCTCGCAATACATCAATTATGCGAGATAATCAAATTAAAGCGCGATTTGTATCGTAGACTTTTTAATGCTTACACTGTGAGGATGAGAGAACAGGTAACCGTAACTGAAATTGACGGTAAACGAGTTTTATCGGGAGATGACATTGGCTAATCTCGGGAGTTGTATTTCATTTCAACCACTTCTACACTTTGTTAATGGCAATATAAATTGTACAAAACCATTTTAAGCCGCCAACCTCTTTTAGAATTACCTCCAAATTAAATTTTGCCCCTCATTAAAATCGCGCAGGGTAAGTTAAGTGTCTGAATCATTGTGAAACACAGTGTCTAAAAATACGCATTATAGCCAAAGATGGTTTGCATATCACAGTACAAAATGATACAGATAATGCGAAGATGAGAATTATTAGCATTTAAATTTATTTTAGATTTTTGTTAATGTAAAAAGCCTGCAGACATATCTGGTGCATCAATTTTGGTCAGGTCTCCGAGGTAACAAAGAAAAAATTTCAACAAAAATGAAAGTCCGTGCTCTTGAGTAGTACTATATTCAACGCGACAGGTTTCCGAGAAAAAATGAGACTGATATATTCTCACAACCCCATATCTACTATAATTACAACATTAAGGTATATTATGTCTTATTGGATAGATTATTAGCTATATTAGTACACTAAACGCTCATTTATTGAATCGTATGTCAATCAGCAAAAATCACGAAGTATTTTCCATGTTGCCTCATGTGGGACATTGTTAGACGCCAATTATTGCCGATTCAGGCCCCAGGAGGGACAACACTCCAATAATATGTATGAATCTTTGGTTGGGAGATGACGTAACTCTCCAGTTTTCGTTCAAGGCCTTTATGCCCAGAAGGAATTTTGTCATCTGAGGTTTATGTGTGTTCAAGTTAATGCGGATGGGGATGAGCTTTAATTGCGTATTTCGTCGTAAATAAATTAGCCTAACTTGCATTTATATGGTGTTAGGATCGACGCCAGACGAGAGAAGTAATAACCTCTGGTTGGGAGGACACTATGAAAGCATTTCAGAGTTTTGGACGAACAGAGGTCGCGTCTACATCAATCAAGTTCATACCTCACTTCGAGGAAAATTACTTTAGATTCTTTCCGAGCTTACTTGGGTTTTAATTAAATACTCGACTTACAAAGCTCTTCATAATGAAAAGGGATTATCGCGCCATTGGCGGTTTATATACGACCTGGAACGAGGCCAAGAGGAAAATGCTCCCCCAAAAAATACCGTTACTGGCATATTTACAACGCATACATTTTTTAAATAAAAGTGCGTTATTCAAGATAGATCACCAATCTGGAGATTAATATTCAACAATTAGCGGGGTTTAATAGACATAATGGCAGTGATAATATTGTCAGATAAATGTATAATCTATTTCCAATGCAGAAACTAACAATAATTTCCATATCGGGAATTTTATTTCCAAGTCCAAAAAGTATTTTATGATCTAGTTTACAAAACAAAAATTAAAGCTTTAAATTACGTACTTCTGTCGGGACTGTCAATGCGATGAGGTTCAAAAATGTTCTAATAGGCTTGTTTACTCTCGAGCGCCACCGTAAGGCGTCAACGCGAAAACTCCTTCTCGATCATCGGCACGTGAGCGCCGTCACGTCAGTTAACAGTACTGTATTTGTAAACACTTTTCACACGATTACCGGCATAAGAGGTTGTCCAATATTTGTTCGAGCGGGGGTGAAATTGCAGTATGATCTACACCGAAACAAATAATTGGCTGACGTCTCTCCAATTAGAAATATTTTAGAAGTTTGTATCTGTGTAATACCATCCTTACATATACACTTGCATAAAGGTCCATGCAAACTAAATTCTCGCAAAATTCTACTCAGCACACACGAGTCTAGTAGGGGCTGATATATGAACCTAATCATCATTTGAATGTCCCTACCGTGATTCTTAATAATAAGCAACAAACTCAAAGTGACGGATGTGATTGCAACTCGATAGCCAAAATATGCAATTTAGGTTTTTCGCAAAGCAATGCCATATCATTCTCGACCTCCCCTCGCTTTCTGGCTTATGTTTTGATATGGAGAAGAAACGAAACCTAGCCTGATCCCGAAGCAGAGACACGGTCCATAACTTCTTCCTTAATGCAAAGCAGCAGGATCGTTGTGGCTGCAGGCATTCGATCCCTTCCTTAGTCTGTTGATGGAATGCTAGCAGACGAATCTAATAACAATTCAATGCAGCTTGACTCGTGTTTCAATATTTTAATAGCATGAAAATCCAGCTTCCACAGGACAAAGTCCAGAAATAATGCAGTAATGTCATCAAACATGAAATATTGTGTTCCGGTTAAATGCTAATTGATAATTACAATGTTGAAACTGCGGTAACTGACATTGAATTCGGTGCTTCTCTGGCAGATTATTATAACAAACTGTATTCGGTGCTTCTCTGGCAGATTATTATAACAAACTGTGTAAACAAGAACATAACAATTAATTACCTTTTCGTCAAAACAATATGCAACTGAACTCAATACCAGTACCGGTACATATCCTGAGCTCATATTTATACATGCAGATTCAAACAACAAAATCTGACACTAGAATAATATTAATACAGCCATACACGTCTGAACTATACAGGGACAGCACTAACTCGTGTTACAGGCCAGAGACAGGAAATGACATGATTTCCAGAACATTCTAACTAAACGAAACATTCTAACTATGACGTCATACAATCTCGCCTGTCAATCATTAAAGACACTGCTGCAAACCGCTGCAGTAACATGGCTCTCCTGCAAAACAATAACTACCTACTATGTTTTGCAATTATACAAATCGACTCTAAACCTAACTCAATGAACACATAAAATTGAACAGAGTAACATTAAGAAAGAAACAGCACTATTTACACATAGATTCCTTACAAAATCTAAAGAAAATTACACTTGCGGAACCAACTCTCAATAACTAGTTTGCCGATTCATCGTTTCCTCTATCAAACAATTTTCAGTTTCCTCGTCAGCTTTATATAATGAGCTTTTCCAACTCTGATCTTGTTGCCAAAGAAATTCTGGTCCTCTTAGCCAGCGAGAATCATAAAGAAGTTCTCTTGCACTTATGCCTCTTGAGGCGTCATCACTAGGATTCGCAGATGAATCGATGTAAAACCATGTATCAGATTTACTCAAATCGTGTATCTGTTGCACACGGTTAGCTACGAACACATGAAATCTTTTTGCCTCATTATTTATGTAGCCGAGAACTACCTTGCTATCCACCCAATGAAAAACACTGATGTCCTTATACTCGAGCTCCCGAACAATTAGGTCACTCATTTTTGCTGAGATCACAGCTGCAGTCAGCTCCATTCTTGGTATTGTGATTTGCTTCAACGGGGCTACACGAGCCTTTCCCATAACAAAACTGCAATGAATCTCACCCCGCTCATTAGTCAGTCTCAAATAAGTACACTGGCCATAACCAATTTCACTGGCATCCGAGAAACTATGAAGTTCAACAGAGCTGATACGGCCAAAGTCTTCAGGTTTATAACAGCGAGGAATCTTCAGTCGCTCCAATTCTAGAATTTCATTGCGCCAATTTTCCCACTTACTTCGCAAATAATTAGGCACTGGGTCATCCCAGTCATATTTTTCTTTGCAGAGTTCTTGTAAAATCATTTTTCCTCTTAAAACAACTGGTGCTAAAAATCCCGCAAGATCAAAAATAGAGCTCACCGAAGAGAGGATGTTTCTTCTAGTAAACGGAAGATCCTGTATTTCTATTTTGAACTGAAAATCGTCAGATTCAATAC